TGGTTTGCATTATGTTTCTTTTCTATTTTTTGCAGGAAGGGAAGCCAAATTGGCTCAATCGTTATGCTTAATAATCAAGTTCGACCGTATCGATTGCTCGGGGGAATACGAGGAACCAAAAGTGTAAAAAAAAATCATATACGAAATTTGTAAGCTCCATACGTAAAACCACTTCTGAACGAAATAAAAGGGTCCAAGTAATTTGAGAAATTGTTCAAGGTAAATCAATCATTACAAGGCTTCTTCCTATCTGCTTAATTGTTTACATCGAAGGTGCTTCAATGATAGTCGACCGCCCACTTTCAACTAGTAACTCATGCGCGTTTTGGCGGGACGTACGGTATGCGCTCTTCTTCACAAATATTCTACAACAAATGGAAATCATTAGTCAAAGCACTTGAGGTATTGTTCAAGAATGAAGATGCATAAATTCAACGGTATGAACAAAATTGCATATCAAGTTTGCTTGCAGTAGGCACATAACATTTTGTACATATTGTAATAAGAGTTGGAATCGATTTATACCTGCATAAATTCAGGGCAGAAAAGTTCGAGTTATGGGGTACAATGACAGAGATCACAGAACAAGGAGCAAAAACCATATTTTCAGAGAGAGCAAAAATTTTCTGCAACTCTATCTTTTCCAAATGTTTCTTTTTCTTTCATTTTTTGGTTTCACAGAGAAATAAAACTTAACTGATTGGCAAATATATCATCTTTCCAGAAGCTAATGGACGACTCCATGATGATATCGAAAGAATTTACTCGATTTTTATTTTTCTAAAATACATGGTGGTTCCATATAGAAGACAGTGATAAGATAACTTGTTTGATTGTTGCGGAATATTTCCTACTAATTAAATTCCTCATTTTCTTAAAAGGTCCGTGCTGAAATCATTGGCAGAAAACCATAACAGTGCCCGAGTGTTTTAATAGCTTAGGCTTGCTTCAGCTTATAAAATCGCTAACAAAGAACCCAATTATTGTTTTTCAAGAAATTCTTACTTATCTTGAACGAACTCTTAAATTCTTAAGTAACTTACTTTTCCCAACTTTGACCAATAAAAATATTATTTATTTTAAGACTTATAAGTATCCTTTTAAAGCTTAGCCAGGTATGCTCTAATAGAAAAAATATTTACTTATAAGTTAACTATTTAAGCTTATGCAAACATGCTCATAGTCAAGAATTCAACTACTGGAAAATAGCATACCTGCATTTCTTGGGGAAGTGCTTCAGAAACTGCGAGAGTGTAGCAACCAGGAGCAAATCTTCCTGAAAAAGGATAAAAGAATTATAAAATCCAACAGGGTCCAAATTTTTGGTTTAACAAACATAAAAAGCTACTGAATTTACAAAGATAATATGCATCGCATAGATAGGCATGAGGAACTACAGATTGTTCCATGAGGCAAGATCTAATATCTTCCCAAGTAAATTTCAGATAACTTGACTCCCAGGATAATTTTCCTCCCAGGAGGAATGTGCCGAGTGCTCAATGAAATTCTATAATCCGAAGTTCATCAATTTATATTAATGTGTCTCGCAAATATAACTAGGCACATAAAAAAAATTCAAATTTATTCTCAGATCCCTTCCAGCCCTTATATTTGTTTAGCCGGTTAAGTTTCTTTTTCTACAATAATAATAATGGAATTTAAAAAAGGTTGGGCATAGGAGGATAAAATTCAAAGCTTTTAGACAAGAGAGCTAGACAGGTAAAAGACCGAAGAAATATCATAGCGGTGTTGGAATGTCAAAGAAGTAAAAAATTATAGACGAACTAGATAAAGCTCTTTAAAGAAGCTTGGCAAATGACTTGGGGACAACATGTGAGTAGGAATTGATGTCAACTTTAAGTCCAACTTTGGCCAGCTAAATTTGCATAACAAGAAGCAAAAATAGCCCATTTAATTAGGCCAAGGCACATGTCCTAGTATAAATCCCAACCCTGCCTTCACAAAATACTCACAAAACATGATCAAGGAGTGACTACTTCATTCTTTCACCATAAAACTTAAATCACTCGAGAACGAAATAGAAAAATCAAATCGAGCAGTAGTGTTTACAAGTAGACAACAATATTTATAAATTAAAACCCACCACTCTCCATGAACAAGCAATCTGATAATCCAACGGTATTGGTCAGGCATTTTTTAGATGATAAAAAAAATTTACAGAAAAGAAGCCCAAGGAGCACTACAAAGCAAGCTGCAAACTGAAACATTGTTGTTCATAACTTCATATCAAACAATTGCAGCATGAAAAACAAATTTTAGAGCCCGGGTTTTATTGGAAGAAAAAAATGTAGGATATTACATATCTATAAAATATATTTAAAAAGCAGCAAAACATAATTTTAAAGCACACAATTGAAACCCGCAAAAAATTCATTAGAATTTAATTATATAGGTGCAGCATGAAGAAATGTGGATAATAGTTACAGGGCGACAACAAACTTAGCCCTTGCCGCAGTAAAGTGAGGATCGTCTATATAATCCTTGATCTAAACCCTAATATATGCACAAAATTTCAAATATATTGGTACAAATAGTAGCGAAAATAAAAGTAGAAGAGTCATAGCATACCAATGCGGAGCCATCGGGCAGCCCAACTCCTAGTTGGGTCCATGACTGATATAATCCTGTATATATAACACAAATACAGAATGTTATATACAGAAATAACATAATTATGCAAAACCGTTTTGAGGTCGAGTCGACTACCCAAAAACCGTTTTTCATACCATTCAAGTCACTGTCGACCGAACAAAACCCTACTCTACTCCTCGGACATGGGAAAAAACAAATGCAAAAAATGAAAGGTACCAAAAACTAAGGCGCTTTTTAGCGATGCAAGAAAAATCAACGAAACACTCGGAAGCAAAACGATGCCAAAAACAAACAGACCCAGTAAAGTTAGGAGTGGTGCAGTCGACAACACGCTCGTGATCGTCGTCCATCTGAAAGAATGGGCAATTCTCGCAACCGGATTCACGAAACTGCAACAATAATTTATGTAGGAGTACTATCATCATTTTCCTTGGAACTTAATTGACAAGAAAGAGAACAAGAACGAGAAAATTTTCCTTTTTCTTTTGAAGCGGGGGTTTAAGGGGGTATAGCCAACCTGGTCGTATGTCTTGACGAGACGGCAGCGAAGGCAGGATCTAAGCTCGTGGCCGAAACTAGTAGGTATCTGTGCCACTGGTGGTGGTCCTCCGCCCTGATTTGCCATTCTCTCTCTCTCTCTCGTCTCCACAGACTACAGAATTTGTTCGTAATTAATTTGGGGTTTTTTTAGGGGAAATTGCAGGATCGGTTTCTAACTTCTCATATTTTTGCAGACATTACCCTAATCTTCACTTTATACCAACCATAATCCCAAATCTTTAAAAAAATATGCAATTGAGATCCAAATGAATGGAAATACCGTTGACCAGGAAAGTCAAAATTTAATCAATTTTGACAAAATTAATAAGGGCAAAATGGTACTTCTTATTTTCCTTACATAAAATAAGTTAAAAAATAAAAATAAATCAAACCCCTTCATCAATCGTCGCCACCCCATCCAACCTCCATCTCAACCCAACCCAAACTCCATCTTCTTTCCATAGTCGTCGGCACCACCACAGCCTCCACACCAACAACTAATCAACCACCAGCCTGGACAAATTCTTATAACATTCTGAACAAGTAAATCAAATGTGATATCAACATATGAAGCCCATTTTTACACAAATAAAATGAGGAAATATGATTTTACCTTCCAAGTTTGGTGATGAAGAAGATGACTTATTCTTGTAGAAATCAATGCAACACAAGATAAAATTGGTGACAATAGACCCCTAATCCCTCTTCTTCACATTAAATTGTTTTCCATTTTTAGTGCAGTTCCAAGGATTACGAATACATGCATATAAGGACCCCAAGTTCGTGATCTCCAGAAAGGTAGGTGGTGATAAGCTCAACGCAACTTCACTACTTTATCGTGGTGTTCATGGATCGGGTATCTCCTTCTGCTATTTCTTTTTCTTTCTTTCTTTTTTTTTTTTTTTACTTGTATTCTTAAATGTAATCCCAGTTATCATTTCACTTACTATTATCTTTGTTCCCAACTAGGTGTCGAAGTTGTCATTGCGACACCTGGGAGGCTAATTGATATGTTGGAGTCTCACCATACAATTCTGTGAAGGGTTACATATCTTGTGTTGGATGAGGCGGATCGGATGCTAGATATGGGTTTTGAACCTCAGATTCGAAATATTATTAATCAGGTCTGTTTCTCTTGAGCATTTATAAGTATATATGTTTTAAACTTTCATCAGTACTAAGAGACAGTACTATAATGAGATTCAGATAAGAAGACATCTGGTTATACATCATTGTTGAGGTAAATAATGGGTTGACAACTATTGGATTTTGGCATGCATCTCTAACTTGTATAATTGTTCTCTTGGACATAATCCTTTGATTTCAATTTATTACTTTAAAGATTTCTTTAGTCAGCAACTTTGTGACAAACATTTAGGCCATGTTTGATTGGCATTATTTTCCAGAGAACTAAGAAAATATTTTCCACTTTTTTGGCTGTTTGATAGACGAAATTTTTCATGGAAAATATTTTCCAGCTTTAGCCCACACGTGTGCATTTTGGCTGAAAAAAAATCTTTTTTTTTTT